ATGATATATATATATACAGATATACAGATGGAAAACAATTGACCTTCTCCAAAATCATTGGTCTTAAGCAAAATCTCCATTCCCCAACTCCCTGCTACCACATCCCAGCCGGTCCTTGTTCACTGAGCTGCACGCCGTCATCACGTCCGGCATGCCATTGCCCAGCGCCAGCAGAGTGACCCCTGCTACGTCCTCCTGCAGGGTTTGGCTCAGCGAGGGGGTGTGCACAATATAAAACATACCAACAGAGTCAAGAGAGAGAGAGAGAGAGATTAATTATATCATATACATTATTGATAATATATGAAAATAAAATATGATAATGTAGTGAAATCCAATGTTGATCATTGTTTATCCAAGAATTTGGATTTTTGAGAGAAAGAAGTGGAACTTCTGATAGCACATCCAATTGCTAAAGAATAAAATGAAACTCTATGTAGATTAGGTGAAGTAACTCAAGGCGATTTCTTTGCTGGCTCCCCTCCCAGCTGCTCCTGCAGACCCAATCTTTCAGATAGAGCCTCCAATTGCGGCACGAAGTAATCGTCCGCGGTGCTGGCCTGAAGGCATCACCACTGCTGTGATTGAATCTGGGTCTGTGGTCTGGGACCCAGATTTAAACCCAAACATCCAGGATTTTTTGGTGAACATCAGTGAACATCCCACAATTTCTCGTAGGCAAAAAATTCAAGGCTCTCCATGGATCTGGAGTGGGTTCACCAGGGAGCAGCTGGGGCCCGCGACCAGCATGCTGATCAGCAGCGCCAACCATAGCAGCAGGAAGACTGCCTGCAAGGCTCAGCTGAAGGCTGAGCCAAGAATTTGGGACCCATAGCCAGATATAACCAGTAATGGCCAGCCCATCATGTTCAAAAAGATCAGGGAGTATTACAATTGATTGCCATCTTTGGCTGCCTCTTGGTATCCTCTTGGTCATGGGGGAACTCCATAGTTGCAAGACTCCAAAATGGAACGGCTTGGCGGCTTGGACCCCTCAAACGGGCACTGTACACCCCACATTCAACTTGGACCCGAAAAAACTTCCCACTGTTCCATACACGGCCCAATTCGGTTTCAAGCTTGTATAGATACTTTGCCCACTCCTGATCCCCCACCTTTACAGCTCGGGGTAGCAGCGCGGAGCAGCTATAAAAGGACCTGAAGGCCACTTTCAGTATGTGTTCCACATGTGTTTGCAGATTCATATACATACTTTCTTCGAAATTGCATGACAAGGGCTTTTTGATGGAACCCTATCGATTATCAACATGAATAAACTAACTTGTCAATGATTCATCCCCCCAACTCTGAACCAGAGCAGCTTTCGCATAGAGCCGAGCTGAACCAAGGCACATGTAGTCAAAAAGGGCCTTGAATGCGGCAGCGGTCGGGTGAAACTTGAATATGGCTTTGGAAGCGGATTTTTCTGACTGGAAATGGCGATGTCTTGGTTCCGTGTTAGATCCTCTAACCTTCGCTGCTTACGGGGCCGGCTGCTGAAATCTCCAAAGTGGCTGACTTCCCTGCAGTAAAACCCCATTCGGCGGAGTTGTTTGAAACATGGCGCCCTGAATCTGATTGTTGTTCATCATGTCTATACAATGTATTTAAATCCTCAGGCACACACCCAATTAGATAGATAGAAACACGTGATTTTTTATCCCCATTATGTGATGCTTAAATTCCCATTCTCTTCCAAAAGGTAAAGAGTATGCAAAAAGCAATGACTCTGACACAAGACTTCCACTCCCGCGCCAATGTTTGTTAAATCCCCCAGTTTTGGCGGTTACCCTCCGGTATTCAAACATGGCTAGCTGGAAAATCGACCAACTAACTGGAGGTTTAGAGGTAGATCCAGCAAGCCATGTTTGATGACCAGAGGGTAACCGACTGGGTCATAAATTGTTACATCATGTTAAATCCTGTGTCTTAGACATAACCTCTAGCCATTTTTCAAAAGTGGGCAATGAACTATGACATACTATTACCATTATTCTCCACCACTACATTAATATCCCATTAATATCCATTAATAGATAGTAATATCCATATTACTAGTATATTACTACATTAATATCCATGAATATCCCAGTAATATACCATTCTTTATGTAACCAGCCACCAGAACTCCCAGCCACCAGCACCTGCGACTCGCCCGCATCGCCCAGCTCGCAAGGCTCGGTGTATCTGTAGCGTGTCACCGCAGAGCCCAGAACCAGCACAAGCCTCGGCTGATGGCTCAATGGATTGGTCCAATGGAAGATCTACAGATTTTCCATAGATTTTCCCACGGAATATGAGGCTTTCCGGCAAATTTCCCCTTAAACCAATATCATTAGTGGATGAGAAGCAGCCAAAAATGGTGGGTTCATAAGGTTGATGATCCTTTTCCCATTCAAGTGTCCACTTTATGGGGACAGTAGATCCCCATTTTGAATTTTAAGGTCCACACCCAAACATCAAGTTTGGTTGTATCCCCATTCATCTCCCTACTATGGGTGGTAGAACCCATGATTTTGTATACCTTAAAAGTCCCAACCAAAACTCAACCAATGCACACCATGCCCAAAACGCCGCACGATCCCAGCTTGGCAACGTTGCGGCCACACATAGCCCAGAGAGGCTTCGGATTGCCACGATGCGTGGTGAACACGCTTTGGCCACAGTGCGTGCACTGCGGGCGCCGCTCATCGGAGGACTAGAGAGAAGCATCGTCGTGTATAGCTAGCATATTGGGTGATGGGTAGGCTCAAACAAATTGGGACACCAATGGACCCACAGAAATTCTGTAGTTTGAGTACTATATCAGCATCTTCAAAAACCAAGCACCTCATCCCGCAGTCAAAGATCCTTTGCTGCACAAGTGTCTTATGATGTGGCGTTCTGATGAAACTATATATATATGTGAAATTTGCGGTTGGCAATTTTGAACCACATTTGTCTTAAGCATCTAAGTTGTAAGGTCAATTGTTGAGCCAGTGCAAAAATAGAAGTTTATTTTAAATGCCATGCCCTTGTTACAAAGCAAAATTCGCATCCTGATAAGCGGCCGGTCAGTTACCTCTCATTTAACTTTGGAGTGTAGTAAAGTCACTACTCTTCCAGCGTTTTCTGTCCCTCCATGTGCAGTTGCAAGCAACAAGGAGTCTGGGGGTCCTAACCCGGTGTTGGTAGGAGAAATGATCTGACATGCACTGGATTTGCCTGGCTTCGTACGTTACAAGCTGAAGAACAAACGGCAAAAGCGGTTCTTTGATGTTGAGAGCCAAGAGCCCCCCTGACGTCAACTCAATGCTGTGACTTCTGAGGATCTAAAGGAGAAATGTTTCATCCTTGGGCTTCCGTGCGCCCAAATAGCTTCTCTTCAAGGGGGTTCCAAAGGGTGTGGACTCGGGCTTGCTTTCGAAGCACTGACCTCCATACCTGGCTTGCAAGCGCGGTATGACAAGTTCAATACGAAGAAATGCCCACTAACATGTACACATAGACATGTATGTCCATGAGTACGTGTACACCGGAGAAGGGGAAGTATTATATTTGCTTTCAAAAGGGGAGACATGGGACGAGATTGAGGAGTGTGTGACATTAGTGTGTGTGTGTGTGCTTGCACATATATGTTTACGCATGTTATCAGACATACGTGCGGATACTGTATTTATATATATATATGTATATATAGACATATGTATATATATATATATTAAATATGTGTGTGTGTGCATGTGTGGGTGTGAGGGGCTCGAACGTGAGTAATTACAAACCAAACAACGGATGATTGATTCTTTAAAAAAGTCAAAATCTCTACAGTCTTTATCAGTCTTTATCGATCTAGTATTGTCTAGCCATTTATCTATGTTATTCTACGCTAATATGTGTGTCTTTTTTTGTCCCCAAACCTTGGCACACCTTCTGCAGGACCTTCGCACCCTCTGCCACCACCCCCGTGGAAACTCGTCAAAGGCACCAGTACTCTTTGCCAAAGACAATGATACCAGTATGCCTCAGGAAAATCTACACCGGAAACCTGGTTTTTTACACTGCTTCGCGTCAAATAACCTTTGCAAGAAATTGAAATGAATAAATATATATGTATATATAATGTAGGATCTCACCAACCAAAGAAGCGCCAAATTCAACGGAGACAAAAACAAGGGATGAAAAGCCACAAAGATCTGGCTTTGAAAATGATTTCAGAAGCCGTTGAAAAAGGGTTATTTCACGGCTCCATGTTGCCCCCACCTTTCAGCCTTCAGCTTCATCCTCTGAGGTGAAGGCCAAATCCCTTCCACAGACTGAAACATGGCAACCTTGGTGGCGCAGGGAGATTGCTATGGCTCAAAAATTTTCCAAAAGTGCAAAAAAAAAAAACAGACTCATAAACATGGTGTCAGAATCCGGGTCACTTAGAATTAATTCACCAACCTGGAAGAAGCGAATTTCGGGATAATCCCGCCCTGTTGAAATCATCTAGGGTGGTGTCGTTTTGAGGTCGTTATAATTTACCCGGCAGAATGTCTGGCATCCAAGCGGCAGGGGCAGCCCAAGCTGCCAAACCACCAGAGATGTCATACTGGTAGAGCCAAACCTGAGCAGTTTACCCGGTTGACCAAATGGGCTTTCACGGGAAAAATGGGGCTCACCCGAAAATGGCAGTTTTGATGGAGAAGCAGGATATATCATGATAACCCGTGGGTCCCGTAGGTTTGGGGTATACCGCTTGGGTTGCCTGAAGTAACATGAAATTCTTCATGCGTTTTGTCCGATTTGAGGCACGTGTTCAGCTCTCTTGAATTCTTGCAAGGAGATCGTTGCAACAACTCGTTTTTGGCACGCATGTTTGGCACGCATGTCGGAAGCTCGGGTCCCAGGAGGAAACCTTGCAATATCACAACCCACGGTGATGCAGTTGATCGCTGAATATTCAGGATGAACGCATCAGAGTGCTCGGTTCTGTCCAACTGCAGGTAGATGTGTCGAGTGCCAAGTTCAAGTGTCTTTGTTTACACCTCGAACCACCACATCCAATCAGGACCTTAGACGAAGGAACAGCTGGATGAGATGGATGGATTTGCGGGACTCTTGCAAGCAAACATGTTCTTGCAGGGGATTTCATGCAGAATGCAGGGACGTACCCTTGAGAGCGTCACTGCCCCAGCCAAGAAAGGCAAGGCACCCAAATACAAGGCCTTTCCCTCCGGAACACTGGCGAGTATAGCCCTGGTGTAGGCGGGGGTCTTGTAAAAGTCATGGCCACAAAGGACGCCACCTGGCCGCACCTGCACAAGCGTCAGGCGTACAGCACATGCAACATGAAACATCTCATGGGGATCACCAACTTGACGACGGGAAAAAAACACCTATCTTTACCATTCTTTCCCCACATTCACAGGCATCGTTTAGTATGGTTCAAATCTCTCTCTCTCTCTCTCTTTCTCGCAACCAAAGGCCTTAGGCAGGAAGGATCTCACATCGCCTTCCCGATGCAGACCTTCGGTTCGACTTCGGTTCCAGGATTTCAGGCATTTCCAGCATTAAATTATGGGACCATTTGGATCAAAGATGGGTTAACTGCGTCTCTGAACCTGGCACATGGTTTTTGGCTGGGTTGCTGAAGGTTTTCAAGATGCAGTGGCAATGCATTGCTGTAACATGTTCTAGTGGAACGCCGACGCATGTGTACATGCATTGATCCAGGAGGATCGTAAAAATGTTCTCCAACCAATTCTGATATACTCTGATCATCATTTTAATCCAAACAATTCTGGCTGAACTAGCATAATTCACTAACCTGAAAAGTTCGGCCATATGGAGATAATTTTCCATAATGTTCCGATTCCTTACTAACCATCATTACAGTGGCTTCCCAGTGAGGTCATCATAATCCAAAAATCATCCAATAATTCCCGGTGCCATTCAGTGCCATTCCCGGGCGCCGGAATCAATGAAGACCAAATCGTACTTTGCGTCGGGCAGCAGTTTCGCTGCGTCCTCGGCAGAGCCGAAAGGAGCCCTCTGGGAAACATCGAAGAAACATCGAAACATTGTGGTTTAAGCATCAAAATGTGATCTTATCCATCAACATTGGGATTAGCCATGATTAACATCAACATTTGGATTAGCCATGATTAACATCAACATTGGGATTAGCCATGATTAACATCAACATTGGGATGAAACATAATTAATCTATCAGACTGAGTATGTGTGAAAATTTGGGTGTGCCCGCCACTTGATGGGTACCTCTAATGGGAGAATGACTGATCATCAATCATACTCAACCAAACATGAGATGTTGGGGGTGCCCTACTCTCAGACAAACAACTTGTAACTGCTAGCTGGGTGACATGATAATCAAAATAATTTGTTTGGGACTCTAGCTTGCCAAAGTTCTTGGCTGGTCAGGGTTCATTGCTGCAGCTGTAAGCTTTTCTCACCTATCGGGCATTGTTGGTCAGCCTTCCTGATTTGCAAATTATTAATACTAACTCCATTGCTGCCACACTTTCTCAGCAGTGTTCGTTTTCTTTCTAAAAGCAGGTGAAACCCCCAAGTCTTCTCATGTTTCCATCCATATGTTCCGCGTGGAATCCATTTAAATTTCTCTGCAGGACTTCAGCTGAGCCAAAGGCGAGACGTAGACTAGTAGACTAAGTATATACATCATGATGTATCCATTGATTTTTTTCCAGTAAAACACCCTCTTTGTTGCTAAAATGATCTGAAGTTCCTCACCTTTGTCCACCCCGAAATCCCCGGGAAAACCGCCCCGTTTCACAACTCGGCTCCTCCCCGGTCATCTGCAGCAGCGTCACCCGGGAGCCCCAAGGCTCCAGCGCTTGGCGCGCCAAGGTCGACACCAAGCGACCAGGACCTGGTGAAAGTTGAATCACCATCCATAGATTTTTACTTTATATTGGTTGTGTATGTACATATATATACATACATATATATATATAGATATACACATATAAAAATAGATAAATATAATATATATATACACATATATAAATATATATATATATAATATATAAATATCCATATATACATATATATGCATATATAATGTGTATATGTTTCTGCATATATACACATAGCCTAGTCCAAAATAAGCACATGAATAAATAAAATAATTAAAGATATAAGTAGAGAGATGAGTTGGCATCTTCCGTTACCGTGCCTGGCCCGTCGGTCTTGTTGAAGTCATTGAGCCAAGGGTCTATGGTGATGACCTGAACAACATCGGCGGCAAAAGAGGATGATGATGGTAAGAATCATCACAATGACATAATGGTAGTGATTCTAGTGATGATACAGTGATACAAGATATACGAAGAAAACAATCATGGTTATTAAATGTTATTAATATAGTTTACAGTACTCACATGACCCTGAAAGCAAAGAGGTGTCAGCCAATTCGAACCAGCATGAAGCAGCATTGCTTTGAAACGTGCATAAGATATTAGGTTCACGAGTTACACTCAACATGCGAATGGATCAAGA